TATCATCCTTAAACATGGCAACTCATGGTTTGAATTTGTGTTTTAGTTCCTTTAGCTTAAGAAATGCTGAGCAAGTTGTGCTTTTTTTGATTTTCTGACTCTAGCTCCTGGCACATTTCATTGTAGTACTTTGCGTTGTCTTCCTGAGCTGTCCTTCAAAATCTATTCAGCCCCTTAACTACTTGATTTTTTCCCTTTGCTTTAGCTTCTCGGCACGCTAGTGCAATATTCAGAGTTTCTTCTGACATCTAGTTTGGTCTTTTTCTTCCTTCTTTGTAATAACTTTTTGCTTTCTTCGTGAGTGATATTCTTGATATTTTCTTACAGCTAATCTGGTATTTGTTCATTAGTGATCAAGGCCTCAAAACTATTGTTGAGTTGGTTTTTAAATTCAGGGGAGGATAGACTCAAGATCAAATTTTGATTACTGCAGATATGATTTAACCTTTTTTGGCTTTAGTTTGAACTTGCATATAAGCAGTTGATAGTCTGTTTCACAATTAGCCTCTGATCTAGTTTTCACTGCTGATATTGAACTTCTCCAATGATTCCTTCCACAGATGTAATTTATGTGATTCCTGTACATCTCATCAGGTGGAATTCATGTGTATAGCCCGTGTTTATTTTGTATATAAAAGATATTTGTTATGAATAAATCATTGATTGTACAGAATTGTATCCTTCTATCCCGAGCCTCATTTCTATCACAAAGACCATATTTTCTGACTACTGATCCTTCTTCCTGGTTCCCAATTTTGGTATTCCAGTCACCCATTATTATTAATGCTTTTTAGTTACAGGTTCAATCAAATTCTGAGTGCAACAGTTGGTAGAAATTATGTATGTCCTCCTCTTTGGCTCTGGTTGTTAGCACATAATTTTGAATGACAGTAATATTAACAGATCTTGTTGTTGTTGTTCTTATGTGCCATCGAGTCACTTGCAACTCATAGCGACCCTCTATACAACAGCCCTAAACTCTGTTCTGTCCTGTGCCAATTTCACTGTCTCTGACACACTCATCCCGATTACCCCAGTCACCGAATCAATCCGTCTCTTAGAGGGCCTTCCCCTCCTGCGCCTGTCCTTCACCCACCCAAGCATGATGTCCTTCTCAAAGGACAGATCCCTCCTTACAACATGACCAAAGTATGTGAAGCCTCAGAATCCTTGCCTCCAAGGAGCAGCCTGGTTTAACCCTCTCCAGGTGAATCTGTTTGTTTTCTTAACAGTCCATGGTACCCTCAATACTCTTCTCCAACACCATTTTTCTCACCTTTTTGTCTCCAGTATAGTAGATAATATGATTGTCTGATTCAAAAGACCCCATGGCAATCAATTTCATTTCACTAACACCTATTATGTCAATATTTATGTGTTCCTTTTATTTCTTCACAATGTCTAATTTTCCTATATCCATGATTCTCATATTCCTTGTACTAATCACTAATTCTTCTTACAGCTGTTCATTCTACTTAGTGTTTCCAAATCTGAGGGCTCAGCCTCAGATACCATATCTGTTATTTACTCTGTGTGCTCTGCTGTACATAGGATTTTCAAAGGCTTGTTATATTTCAGAAGTGATTGAGTAGTCCTTCTTCCTAGTCTGTATTAATTTGGATGCTTAGTTTTAGAACAATATCTGACAGACAAGCTTTTACCGAACAGATAAAAGACACTCACTTACAGAAATAGCCAATACATTCATTTCTCCCGCCCAACCAAACAGCTGTGCCTTCCTTTCAGTTTCCCTGTTACATCACCATTCTTGCACTCCACCCTACCTTGTAAAACCTTCCCTTACCCAGCCATCTCTTGAGGTGTATGTTGTTGTTGGTGTTTACTGTCGAGTCAGAACGGACCCATGGCTGACTCTCTGGTGGATTTTCACAGGCAGTTAATCACAAGGGAGGAGATTGCCCACCCTTCTCTAAAGAACAGCTAGTGGATTTGAACTGTGTGTCTTCAGGATTGCAGGCAGCACAGCTTAATCATGCATGTAGATGAATTTAACCCTAACCCTTTTCACAGAGTTCAGAAAATGATTTCTTATTTCTGACAAAGCAGTAGGAGATATGTCATACTTTTAATCTCTGTCTTCAAGAAATGCCCAATCTATTTGAAGACTCACGTAATTAGGAGACGCTTACCCAGATAATCTCTCTTTTGATTAACTCAAAGTCATTTGAGTCCTTAATTACATATGCAAAATGTTTTTAATTTTGTCATATAATAAAACTTAATTATAGAAATGAAATCTATATCCCCAACCCTACCCACTCTGAAGAGATAGGAATTATAAAGTGGTGCACACCAGAGAACAGAGAACAGAAATCTGGCTAATCATCTGAATATTCTCCCTTTTTGCCATTTTTCTCCGCTTAAGCTTAACATTGATTTCTGGCTATCCACCCTAAATCTGACCTCTTGATCATTCACTATCAATATAAAATTTTATTTCATAGAATAAAGATTATGACAATCTGCTTAACTATGCTTTCTAATTTACAAGAAATTTATCCCTGCTCCCATTCTTATCCCTTTTTCTATTGTACTTTATGAGATTAATATTTATTTCATAAACTGGACATATTGATTATTGAAATTTATCATACTATATTGATTGTTTATTAGACTTTTAATCTGCTTTATGTCAATAATTTATTATCCTTGATTATTTATTATCACTAGAGTTCCTAAATTGTTACTCTATTTGAACCGTTTTATTAGTAATTATTTTCAAATATTCCTTCCTAACTCATTCCCCATTCATGACATTTTAATACCTTAGGTAAAATATGTATTTGTTTATCTATGGTATGTATATTTTTGTTTTGATTATAAAAAGTAATTAATTTACATCCACATAAAAAATATACATACTTTGCCTATTGAATAATTTATATCTATGAAAGTATGCTGTACACTTGTGCATAATGGTCATCCTGACTGATCTCTGCAGCTACAACGTGTTGGGGTTTTTTTCTCCCTCTCTCTCTTGGAAAATCTTTTCTGTAATGAGATCTATTGAAAGATTAAACTTTTACCCCCCATTTATACCTAAACTTCCTACTATCTAGACCAGATACTTACTAGTTATTGAATTTTTTACAAAGGTCATTAGTGCTTTATGCTTTGTTCAATAGAATAGACACATTTTAGCCCTTATAATATTTGAACTCTTTTTGACATTTTGCATTGCTGGTTTTTCCTTTCTCCTTGAAACTCTTTTTCCTTGTCGTCATCTGGTTTTATTTGTATTCCTGTAGCTTGTTTTTCTCTCCATATCCTTAATACAGGTATTTTTCATGGCCCTAATTTAGATTCTTATAACTCTGCAAATATTTTATGATTTCATCACCTGTAAAATCTTTAATAATATGCTAATGATTCTAATCTTTATGTCCAGCCTTCATTTCTCTCTTGTGTTCCAGATATGATCCTGTGCTCCTCATGCTCTGCCTTCAGCTGATTTGGATGAAAAACAAACAAAAATGTACAACATAAAATCACAGTTCAAACCAACAAACAACAATAAACAACATACTTCAGTTTCCACATTCTCACTTAAATTCCTAACTCATTCAGTTTTCAAAATAATATACATTATCACAGTAGAACCTGAGAAAGTCTTTTTAGGTTATTTTCTCTTTCAGAATTTTAATAGCATTTTACTTGGATCCACAATTAATACCCTTGGTACCAGCAGTAAGAAAAGCAACCAGACACGTTGATATGGGAAAATGTGAAGGTAAAGACCTCTCCAAATTATTGAGGGGTAATAATATCCATTTGAGTACCAAGACGTGTCAGATTCGGGCCATGGTCTTTCCAATCACTTGAAATGCATCTGAGAGCTAAACAACGAATAAGGATGACAGAATTGATGCCTTGGAACTATGTTGTTGGAAAATAGTACTGAAAATCCCATTAAGGGCCCAAAGAACAAACAGATATGTCTTGGAAAGGGTGCAACCAGAGTACTCTTTGCAAGTAAGAGTGAGAAGGATTCCCCTCAGATAACTTTGGGCATGTTACTAGAAGGGCCTATTCCTTGGAAAGGCACATGATACTTGGAAGAGTGAAGGGTCAGCGAAAGAGAGGAAGACCCTTGACTAGATTAATTGACATTGTGACTGCTGAAAAGGGCTCTAGTGTGTCAGGAAGTATGGAGATGGAACAGGGAAAGACAGGGTTCAGATATTCTATTCATAGGGTCACTATGAGTTATCCAACAAAAAGTTATGATGTTACCCAACAAAAACAACAATCTTTATGGTTATTCCTTAGTAAAAAGGTAGAATAAGTAGATTCTATCTGAAGGCAAGGAACATCAGAACCATTGTACATAATATTTTGTTCTGCTTGTAAATTATTGGCAATACAAAACATCACCTAATTTGAGAAGAAAGAGATTCCATTGGGATAGCATTGGAAACCATATGAAAGTCTGTAAGAGTCAAAGCTACCTAATGATATTAAATTTGTTTTAGGAAATAGCAAAAGAATAAGGCCCCAGGAATAGATGGTATACCAATTGAAGTATTTCAGATAACAGATTTTGCCCTGGATGTGCTCACCAAGTTGTGCCAAGAAATCTGGAGAACAACCACTTGGCCAACTGACTGGAAGAGATCAATATTTGTTCCCATTCCAAAGAAGGTGACCCAGCTGAGTGAGGAAACTAAAGAACAGTGTCATTGATTTCACATGCAAGCAAGATTCTACTGAAGATTATCCAAAACCTATTAGAACAGAACTTCAGCAGAGAACTGCCGGAAGTCCAGGCTGGGTTTAGAAGGGGTCGTGGTACTAGGGATATTGTTGCTGATGTTAGATGGATCTTAGCTGAAAGCCGGGAATACCAGAAGAATGTCTATCTGTGTTTCATTGATTATGCAAAGGCATTTGACTGTGTGGATCATAACAAACTGTGGCTCCTCGCCTAACCGGCCGGAAGGGCGCTCCATCCTGCTTCCCTCCGCTGCAACTGGGCCAGGATGGCAGCAGCTCCAGGAGACAGCAGCCCCAGCGACGACAGCCGGCTGGACCGAGAGACGGCCCAGTGGCTGCGATGGGACCAGAATCCTTTAACTTTAGAATGTGTGAAAAAACTAATTGCGGATGGTAATAAAGAAGAACTACAGAAATGCTTTGGGGCACGGATGGAATTTGGAACAGCTGGGCTCCGAGCTGCGATGGGACCAGGCATCTCTCAGATGAACGACTTGACCATCATCCAGACTACACAGGGATTTTGCAGATACTTGGAAAAACAGTTCAGCGACCTGAAGCAGAGAGGCGTGGTCATCAGCTTTGATGCCCGTGCCCACCCTCCCAGTGGGGGCAGTAGCAAGAGGTTCGCCCGGCTTGCTGCAACCACATTCATCAGCCAGGGGATCCCTGTGTACCTCTTTTCTGATATCACTCCAACCCCCTTTGTGCCTTACACAGTATCACACCTGAAGCTTTGTGCCGGAATCATGATAACTGCCTCTCATAATCCAAAGCAGGATAATGGTTATAAGGTCTATTGGGATAATGGAGCCCAGATCATTTCTCCTCATGATAAAGGAATTTCTCAAGCTATTGAAGAAAATCTGGAGCTGTGGCCAAAAGCTTGGGATGATTCATTAATTGATGGCAGTTTGCTTCTTCATAACCCAACTGCTTCCATCAATAAAGACTACTTTGAAGACCTGAAAAAATACTGCTTTCACGGGAGTGTGAAAAGGGAGAGCAAGGTGAAGTTCGTGCACACGTCGGTGCACGGCGTTGGCCATGACTTCGTGCAGTCCGCCTTCAGAGCCTTTGACTTCGCTCCCCCGGAGGCTGTGCCCGAGCAGAAGGATCCTGATCCCGAGTTCCCCACCGTGAAATATCCGAACCCAGAAGAGGGCAAAGGTGTCTTGACACTCTCTTTTGGTTT